TACCAGAGGAGAAAAGCAATCTAGAAGTGAATCATTCGAGTTGTAATAAGGACTGGCCTGGCAAGATATGCCCACTGGCACACAGCGACTTAAACATCATAGGAGGGACCACTCACTTTCTGATTTAAGTCCTGCTCCACAAGATGAAACCAAAGCCTGGCACCAATGCTGGGCTAAGAACCTATGGCTAGACAGGTCCTAGCTCCTAGGAGAGAACCTATTACTATTATTCTGCTAAATATAGTTTAAAATGATTCCTAATGAGTTATCATTACAGATTGGTGCATCTCTTAGCCCTCATCAAAGAAACCTCTATTTGCAGTAGATGGTGGTTAACACAGAGATTCACAACTGGCCACAGTGCAACAGGTAGGTGACTAAGGAATTCTCAGCCCTAAGGGGACATCAGCGGTACATCCTCTCCTTGTGGAGGAGGGGTTGGAAAGACTATAAGAGTCAGAGACAGTGAATGAATACAAGGGAACTGTGTCCTCCAGATACAAGGCATGTGGGCCATGGAATGCATGTGGGGGTCAGAAGACAATTTGGAGAAGTCAGTTCTCTGTTTCCAACACGTGGGTACTGGGGATTGAACTCAGGTTGTCAGGCTTAGTGGCAAGTGCCTTTTTTTCTGAGGTCTTGCTGGCCCTACTTTAACTTTTTAATGATGTTGCTGGTGATATGGTTAGTCTAGGGTTTTAAAAAACATATTGCTTGGTTATAATATAAATGACTAGTTATATTGGTGTAATTAAGAATTTAGTGCCAGATGTGATGAGATGCCTGCAGTTTGGGCAATTGGGAAGCTGAGGTGTTGTAGAATAGTAGTTTAAGATGTGTTGTATTTGTTTATGCTGTGGAATGTTTGTTTAATGATGCAAAGATGTGTTGCATTCTTCTTTTTTTAAAGATTTATTTATTTAGTATGTATACAATGTTCTGCCTGCATGTATCCCTGCAGGCCAGAAGAGGGCACCAGATCTCATTTCAGATGGTTGTGAGCCACCATGTGGTTGCTGGGAATTGAACTCAGGACCTCTGGAAGAGGATGTGTTGCATTCTTTTGTGTTGAATTTGTTTAACTCTGTGAAGCTGTGTTACTTTGCCTGCCTAAAACACCTGATTGATCTAATAAAGAGCTGAACAGTCAATAGCTAGGCAGGAGAAAGAAATAGGGGGGCTGTCAGGCGGAGAGAATAAATAGGAGAAAAAGAGAAGAGGGAGGATTGAGAAAAGGAGGAAAGGAGGACAGCAGGACAGCAGTCACACAGCCAGCCATGGAGTAAGAAGGAACGAAGGTATAAAGAAAGGTATAAAGCTCAGAGGCAAAAAGTAGATGGGATAATTTAAGAAAAGCTAGCTCTGAACTGTAAGCCATTCCAATGAAATGTTTTTCTTTATAAGAGTTGCTGTAGTCATGGTGTCTCTTCCCAGCAATAGAAACCATAACTAAGACATAATTTAATAATCAGTAAAGAATATTATGGGCTGGAGAGATAGTTTAGTGCTTAGCAGTACTGGCTGCTCCTCTGGAGGAATGGGTTCAGTTCCCATCATCCACATGGCAGCTCACAACTATCTGTAACTCCAGTTCCAGGGGATTCCAGTGCCCTTTTCTGACCTCCAAGGGCACCAGGTAGGAATGTGGTACACATACATACACGCAGGCAAAACACTCATGCACATAAAAATAAATCTTTAAAAAAGATAATTACAATGAATTTGAAACATTTTACATGCACTCCTAACTTAAAAAAAAAACCTGTCAAAGCAGAGAGCTAATCTCTATAGCACGAAAAAGAAAAGGATCCAGAGATGATATTGGCGTTCAAGCAGAAGATCAGGAAAGCAAATCAGCCGGTCACTAGCTCTCGCTCTACTGCAGACTGAACGTCCATCTTGGCTACATCAAACCTCAGGCTGCTGCCTCTTCTCATCATGGCTGGAGAATTCTGAGACTTCAGTGTCTTCCTTTCCTCATTAGTCCCTGATAATGAGACCTTGCTCCTCTCTTATATACCTCCCTAATGCTGGCATTAAAGGCGTGTGATCCCAGGTGCTGGGATCGTCTTTGTGTGAGCTGTTTCTCTTTAGGATAGATCAATTTCGAGTAGCGCAGTGTGGCCTTGAACTAACAGAGATCCATCTACCTCTTAATCCTGAGTCCTGGGATTAAAGGTGTGTGCTTTACTGCTTAATCACCTTCTGTAACTTTTGTGTTTTCAATTCTACGTGTGTAACTGTTTTGTCTGCATGTTGCTGTTTACCTTGTATGGCCATGGCGGTCAGAAGAGGGCATTGGATGCCCTGGGACTGGAGTTACAGGTAGTTGTGAATCACCATGTAGGGGCTGGGAATCAAACTGGAGTCTCCTGGAAGGGCAATCAGTGAATGCTCTTAACTCCTGGGTTATCTCCCAAACTTGAGAAAGGGTCTTATTCCATAATCTCAGTTGGCCTTGAACTTACTGCGGTCCTCCTGCCTTGCCTCCCAAATGTTAGCATTATAGGCTTGTGTCCACAGTCTGCTGTTAAGTGTGTGGCACCAGGTTCCCCCAGGCTGGACCACATATCCCAGAACTCAGTAATTGTCGGTCACCCAGACTCCCAGTAGCCCTTGAAGCCTGAGGCTGGGTAACATTATATGGTAAAGGAAAGAACTATACTAATTTTATGAAAGCTAGACACCAAAAAAAGCAAAGATGCAATTCCGCCTGAGACCTAGCTGCAAAGACAAGGGTTAGCCATTTCTTCCCTCCTGGGCTGTAAGGACGGGGAAGGGGGAGAGACAGACACTAGGGCCTGCTTGAGGTGCTCTGTGCTGCAGTGAAAGGCCAGTGGGAGCTTGAACAAGTCCTGTTATCTCCACATCTACAGACGCCGGCAGAGAATTTTGTTCCCTTCAGGCATCCACTTCCCTGAACTGCCAAAAGGTCTAAAAGTGTCCCGTTAGAGCTCTTCTGAGTACTGGGGTACCTTTACTAATTTTGGGAAACACTATATAGTCCTAAAGGAAAGGAGTGTGTGGTCGCTTATGTGTGAATTTTAAAAAAATTATAAATTACTTCATTATCATAAATTGTATGGTTGATATTCTATCATAGAAGAAAGTATCTGTCCTGGTTAGTTTTGGGTCAGCTTGATACAAGACAAGAATCATCTGAAAGGAGGGAGCCTCAATGGAGAAAACACTTCCGTAAGATCAGGGTGTAGACAAGCCTGTGTGGCATTTTCTCAATTAGTGATTGATGGAGGAGGGCCCAGCCCATTGAGGTAGAGCCACCCCTGGGCTGGTGGTCCTGGGTTCTATGGGAAAGCAGGCTGAGCAAATCATGGGGAGCAACCCAGTAAACAGTGCTCCTCCATGGCCTCTGCATCAGCTCCCGCCTACAGATTCCTGCCCTCACTGCTTCCCATGATGAAAAGTGATACGGAAGTGTGAGCAAGATAAACAAACCCTTTCCTCCCCCAGTTGCTTTTGGTCATGTTTCATCACAGCAACAGTAACCTTAAGACAGTATCTCTATAGAATGCCTTTGTTTTTCTAGGCTAGTACTTTGCATAATGGATGTCTGTGAACGAATCTTTCATCCAATTAGTACTTACTGTATTTTGTGTTTCTTGGTGCTTTTCTGGTTTGCAAATGAATCCTTTGTGACTGCTCTTACTCCAGGAAAGGCAATTCCATAGGCATACTTCCTAGTACTTTTTGTTTTTTTGTATTTTTTTAAAGATGGGGTTTCTCTGTGTAGCCTTGGCTGTCCTGGAACTCTCTCTGTGGACCAGGCTGGCCTTGAACACAGAGATCCGCCTGCCTCTGTCTCTGGAGTACTGGGATTAAAGGTGTGCACTACCTCCTAGTACTCTTGCCCACCTCCATATTAGAGCTTCTTATGACCCTCAGCATCTGCATGTGAGTGCATGATATGTATGGGCACATGTGTTGTGGTGTATGTATGGAGGTCAAAGGACAACTTGGTGGAGTTGGTTCTCTCCTTCCACCTATGTGGGTTCCAGGGACTGCATTCAGGTCATCAGGTTTGTGTGGCAAGTCTTTACCCATTGACACATCTTGCTAGCTCCTAGGTAGCACTGAAATAACAGCCATTGTTATTATGTACACTATGTATGTGATATCAAGGTTCTCTCCTTTTACTAGGCTTATGTGGCAAACACCTGAGGAGTCATCTTGATGGTCCACTAGGTTGTATTTTAAATCAACATCCAGTGGAAAGAATTTTTTTTCTTTTTTTTGACACAGGGGTTCTCTGTGACATAACATCCCTGGCTGTCCTGTGTGTCCCAGAATTTGCTTTGTAGACCAGGCTGGCCTTGAAATCACAGAGATCTGCCTGCCTCTGCCCACCCTTGCCACTGAGTATTGGGATTAAAGGCATGAACCATCATGCCTGACATATTTTTCACTTCTAGATACAGATCTTATTTTGATATGGCCTAAGACTGGTCTTCAGGAAAAGACATTACTCTGTAGGCACAAAACAGGGAACTTCATTGTAAAACTCGTCAGGACTAAGATAGTTATGATGAAGACATTAGCTTTCAGCTTTCTTATAAGGTGCAGTGAATTTAAAAAGCCTTTTGGGGTTAAAACAATTCAGTTTCAAACTTCTTAAGGTGTTATTCAGGTGTTCCAGGTGATCACTGACTATATGGTTCTGAAACATTTTGAAGATATGGGAGGTACATCTTGAGCTATTCCCGTTTAAGGAAACCATGTATGAAAAAGCAGGAAGAGATAAACAATATCTTCAATGTTCTAGTAACTTTGTAGAGTTATATATACATACTATTTGTACTTAGAGCTTCTACTTGCTATCATTTTACAAGAACTGACATGCTGGAAGGTATGGGTTTCAAATCATATTCTGCCACTACATGACCTATAAAATGACACTTCAACACCATGGGCTCACTTTCCCCTTGCTTACATTGTGGAGCACCAGATGGTGCCTAACACACACTTTATACGTATCACCAAAGTGAACATACTTAGCATTTTTAATGGTTCTAATGTTCAACGGGACAAGTACATACGGTGAAATACAGAGCCCTGTCGAGAGCAACATGGAGGATGCTAATTCCATCTATAGACTTATGCAAGGCTACAAGAACAAGCAAAAGTGAATCATTATACCTTAAAGGCTTAAATACTAAAACTTAGTCAAACAAAACCAAAACTATTGCTAAGCCCTGCTGTTGGTACATGGTGATGATTTTAGCACTATGGAGGCTGAAACAGAAGGATAAGGAGTTCCAGCCTGGGCTATATACATAGAGACCCTGTCTCAAACACACAAAACACTGCTTATGTTTGCATTCAACAGATTCTCAGAGAACTAGCTTAAGAAGTATGATGCAGGGGCTGGGATGGTGGCTGCTGGTGGAGTCTGTTGTGCAGCCATGAGGACCTGAGTTCATACTTTGGCATACATGTAAAAGCCAGATATGCAACCTGGTGCTGAGGAGACAGGACAGTTGAGTCTGGGGTTTGCTGTTCTGCCAGTCGGGTGGAATCTGTGAGGTTCAGCTTCAGTGAGAAGACCCAGTCTCAAAAAAATAAGGTGGAGGGCAGGAGAGATAGCTTAATGATTAAGAGCACAGGCTGCTCTACTAGAGGACCAGGGTTCGATTCCCAGAACCTATATAGTGGCTGTTAACTCCAGTTCCAGGGGAATCTGATGCCCTCTTCTAGCTGCTGCAAGGGCTACATGCATACGGTGCACAGATGTACATGCAAGCAAAACACCCATCACACAACATAGATTTAAAAAATAAGGTGAAGGATGATTGAGGAGAACATCCAACACTGACCTTTGGCCTAAACACACATGTGCAAATATACACAAGTGCATCACATACATCATACACACACGCCTACACACAAAGAAATATGGTAGGGATCTGGTGGTGTAGCTTAGTAGTAGGGCATTAGCTTAACCTGTGAGGCCCTGGGTTCAAGCCAGCATCACAAATAAAAATGATGGAAGGTTCTATTAGCTTCTAAAGCTACTGAGATGTAATGGTTACAGTATGGCAGTTACCATATATCTGCTTGCTTTCTTAACTATCCTGCACTTAACCCACTGCCAGATTAACTGACTAATTCCATTCCCCCAAACAAATGGCTGATGACCTTGCAGCAGACCTTTCGTGGTCATAATTGTTCCTTGTCGTTCTTCAATTTACTTTTGGTTTGTTCCCAAGTTACCCCCCTGTAAAAGTGCATTCCTCATTAATTACTTAGACATATAGCCAGCAAAATGAGTGAAGAGAGGATTTCTTCTTTATAAAGTTGGTTGTAAATATTTGCTAATGCCACTCCAGTTGCAATGAGTGTGTGTTAGTGCCCAAATTTTGTTTCTAATTAGCTAATTATAAAGAGCCAGGAGTTCCAGGACAGCTGCTTCCATCCAGGTTTGGGACAATTTTGGAAATGTAGGATGAACTTGAGGTATCATCTGTTAGAAGACAATAAAGCAACCAGCGACTAGAGAGACAATACCAGAAGGGTTGACAGAAACAGTGACTGTAATTGACTAACACATTGACTCATCTGTTATTACTGTAGATAACACAAAAAAGTCCTAAATTGGTTAATTAGTGGTGAAGAGCTAGCATTATCTTGCTTCTAATGCATTCTTAGCTAACAAAGGAAGATTCTTCCTTACATAATACTGCTCAGCAAATGTGGAAAGAGCAATAGAAAATCACTAGTTTTGCCGACCTTACTGAAAAGATTGATCCAGGCGAGGATTACTGTTAGGTAACAATAAAATTGTTGGTTAATAGGACAGCCACACTGCTCAAGTGTCAGTCCACAGATGGTTAACCATAACAGGAAGAATTATATTGGGACAGCCTGGTGGTTACCACCTCAATAGCCAATTGTCACGTCATGAACAGTGTGTTGACCTGATAGTGAGTTTTGGCAGTGAAGGAGGAACTGCAACTGTGAAATGCTATGGTTAAAGATGTTTAACCTGAGCTCGGTTAAGTCTTTGGCCTCAACTTATAATTTACAGACATTTTAGGACATATATTACACCATACGCAAGCCATGCATAATCTATCTAAATTCCAAATGTGACAATCAACACATCCTGGAAACAGAAAAATAGAGGGGACTGTTCTAGCTGGAGTAAAGAGATCCAATAAAGGATGTGCAGAAACTCACTGGCTCAGTCGGGGAAATCAAAATGGATTAGGTGTTCAGATGTTAGAAAAGGCCACCCATTTTCTTTTAGGTAATATAGTTATGTGAGTGACTTAGTTTTATGAGATATATTTAGAGGTGAAATGTCTTTAAGTTACTTTTTAATATGGCAAAATATTAACTTTAAAATATAGGTGGTGGGTTCAGTGGATTTTATGATTTCTAAACTTCTCCTTTTACATATTTAGCAATGTTCCTAATAAAAAGTTGTAGGAAATACTTACACAAATCTGTTGAATTGCTCATGGGATACACAACTTTAAAATGAGGGAAAAACACACACAGACAGGATTCTGTACTATTGTTCTATTCTTTTTATAGGAGCCTTACTTGCCTCTGTGTACCAGTGGAAGACTTTATATTATTTACATAAAACACACAAAGGCAGGAAACACAAAGCATTGCCCTATGGCCTGTACCACACCACACTCATCCCAGCAGAGAGAAGCATTATGCAAGGCATGAAGCAACATCAAGAAGCAACTAGTAAATACATTGTTATCCTTAACATAACTGAGGAATGAGCATCACCTAAGTATTTTTTAACCAGTATTTTGTGAATACTATGAAGTCAAGTAATTAGTATCAGGAAAAGAGAAGGTGACAATTTCATTAAGAAAACACAGCTGGGTGGTGGTGGCAGTGGTGGCATATGCCTTTGATCCCAGCATTAGGGAGGCAAAAGCAGCCTGGTCTACAGAGCGAGTTCCAGGACAACCAGGGCTACACAGTGAAACCCTGCCTCAAGAAACCAGCCAATAACTCCACCAACCAACTAAAAACAAAAACAAAAAGCCAAACCAACCAACCAAAAAAACACTCCCACAAATACAGCCTCAGGATGGCAGCACCTCAACCTTCTCTTCAACCCCTTTGAGGGTTAGTGATGCTGTATTGTCAATGTAAGCTTAGGTGTTTATGGCACCAGAATTGTTTTTTTTCTCATTTAGTGAAGGGAACTTTCATTGGGCAATGATGTCTCACAACTTTTAATTCTCCATTTTTTTTTGAGACAGGGTTTCTTTGTGTTAACAGTCCTAGCTGTCCTAGAACTAGCTCTGTAGACAAGGCTGGCTTTGAACTCACAGAGATCTGCCTGCCTCTGCCTCCAGAGTGCCAAGTTATGCGCCACTACCGCCTGGCTTGATTCTCCACTGGTAAGCTGTTATTACACAGTAGAGAATATTTGTTAAACATGTGATACACCGACACAAAGCTATTTTACAGTCCCACCAACTTTCTTTCCATGCCTGTGACTCCTCTACCTTACCACTCAACTCTAATTTACATAATTTACTCATCAATTCAGCCAACATATACTGATCATATGGCAAGGCACCGGAGAAACAAGAATGAGCAAAATGGAGCTCTGCTTTATATTCTGAAAGTGTGATGCTATGGACAGTAAATAAAAATCAATTCCTGCCAGTCTTTCTTTAATGCTGTTCAAGCCCCATGAACTCAGTTACTGTTTAATCATTACTGCTTAATGATAGTTTCTGCATCAACATTTTTTTTCCAAAGAAACATTTTCCTAACACGTTAAGGGCAATTTCTGTTTTACTTCCATGTGTGAAGGAGTACCAGGCTTCTAACTATTCCTGAAAATAATTTCATTTTTAGTTTTCTATGAATAGGTTAATTTTTTCCACCATTACTTCCTTAGGTAAAGGGGGTCCAGTTATGTTTCATGTCACATCAGCTACCTGACACCTCCCTTCCTCACTGCTTCCCACCCTGCTGTTCCCTTGCCATCTCCGCGCTGGACCGAATCTCTTCTATTACTTATTCTCAAGTTATTTATAAAGCTATGTTCATTTCTCACGAAACTTGGCTTATAGGGTAGTATCTGGCAGGATTAGGCTTGTCCCATGGCCAAGTAGTTATGAGCATATCCTTACCTTTTCTTTACAGATCTTTGTTAACTGAAAGGGTTCAGTCAAAAAGTCTGTCCTGAGCACAGTAGGCTCTTAGGAAATGTGTTTCAATGAAAGAAATGGCTTCACTACAGTAAGAGCCATGGGAAAACTTGTCAATTTAAAAGCTGCTGGGGAAAATGGAACAGTGAGCTTGTCTTTTTTTTCCTTCAGGGTGACACTGGATGTTAAAACCAAGTGAAACTAAAAATACTGTTGTACTAAAGATGACTTTAAGCCGGGCGTTGGTGGCGCACGCCTTTAGTCCCAGCACTCGGGAGGCAGAGGCAGGCGGATCTCTGTGAGTTCGAGACCAGCCTGGACTACCAAGCGAGTTCCAGGACAGCCTCCAAAGCCACAGAGAAAGCCTGTCTTGAAAAACTAAAAAAAAAAAAAAAAGATGATTTTAAGCCTGGGGTGTTTAATCTGTGTCTGAGTCTGCTCATGTCTAGAGTTTTGTATACACTGATCCTTTATCAGACTGCCTCCTCTCCTGGAGGAAGTGCAGTTAACAGTGGTCATGTGAATCCCAGCACTCGGGAGGCAGAGGCAGGCGGATCTCTGTGTGTTCGAGGCCAGGCTGGACCAATAGCCTCCGAAACAATACAGAGAAACCCTGTCTCATAAAAACCAAAAAAAAAAAAAAAAAAAAAAACCCACCAGTGGTCATGTGGAGATCTTTTAAGAGCCTTTCAGGTTTCTGCCTCAAGTTCACTGGCTTTACATGGAAGCTGTAATGAGAAAAGAGGGAGCAAAAAGTGGGAGGGGCCTCTTATTATTTTAAGGCTTCAAAGCTAGGATGAAGCAAAGACCCCAAAGTATCTATATCTTCTTTCCTATAATGTCAGGATTACTCTCTAGTGCGAGTAATCTAGTGTGACAGACACTTGCCCAAGTTATAGTCATAAGGCCTTAATAAAACATACTTGAAATATGGGAAGAGTTGATGAGTCACAGGTTTTAAAATATCCTTTCACAGTATTTCTTCTGGAATGAATTCAAGTGATATGAGACAAAAGCTAAGGAGTTGATGGAGCTTTAAGTTTTAAGTTTCACACTAAACTCTAAATGGACAAGAGCCATTTTTACTAATTCTGGTACTTCTGCTACTATTGGTAGCTAGCATATTGCACTTGAGTTTTTTTTTTTGAATAGTTTGACACAGCACACAAAATGAAATTTAAGCAATCAAGTCTGAAAACTCAAACAAAGTCATATCAAATAACTGTGGTATCTGGCACCTGTTGCGGTGTCTGACACCTGTATGAACACGTTGGTGCTGAATAAGATTGGTACTCTGGGTGAAGCTTTTCCCACATATAAGGCATACGTAGGGCTTCTCTCCTGTGTGAATCCTCTGGTGTTGAATAAGGCATGTTCTCTGGCTAAAATCTTTGTTACACTGGTTACATTTATAGGGTCTCTCTCCAGTGTGAATTCTTCGATGCTGATTAAGTGACGAAGAATAAATAAAAGCTTTTCCACAGTGATTACATTTATAGGGTTTTTCTCCAGTATGAATCCTTTGATGTTGAGTAAGATTCGCACCTTGTCTATATGCTTTCCCACATATGTTACACTTAAAGGGCTTTTCTCCATTGTGAATCCTCTGGTGTTGAGTCAGGTGCACACTCTGGCTGAAGGCTTTCCCGCAAACACTACATTTATATGGTTTCTCTCCAGTATGTATTCTATGATGCTGAGTAAGGTTTGCACTCTGGCTGAAGGCTTTCCCACATACACTACATATATAGGCTTTCTCTCCAGTGTGGGTAGTTTGGTGTTGTATAAGAGTTGAGGAATGAGCAAAGGCCTTTCCACATTCATTGCATTTATAGCATTTCTCTCCGGAATGAATTCTCTGGTGTCGAATAAGGTAAGTGCTCTGACTAAACACCTTCCAACACTCATTGCACTTATATGGTTTTTTCCCAGTATGAATTTTTTGATGTTGAAGGAGGTGTGTACTCTGACTGAAAGTTTTCCCACATTCATTGCATATATAAGGTTTTTCTCCAGTATGAACTCTCTGATGATTGATCAACGATGAACTATGGCTAAAGGTTTTACTGCATTCCAAACATTTATATGGTTTCTCACCAGTATGTGTCCTTTGATGTATAGTAAGATGTGCACGCTGGCTAAAGTCTTTTCCACAGTCTTCACACTTGTACGGTTTTTCTCCAGTATGAATTCTCTGATGTATAGTAAGGTGTGCACGCTGGCTGAAGGCTTTCCCACACTGGTGGCATTCATATGGTTTTTCTCCAGTATGCATTCTCTGATGTGCAATGAGGGATGAGATATGCTTAAACTCTTTCCCACATTCTTCACATTCATAAGATTTCTCTTTGGCATGGCTATTTCGGTGTGCCAGGAGTGATGGGTATTTCCTAAATTTTTTTCCACAGACATTACATGAATAAGGCTTATCTCCAGGAAGTATTTTCCCATGTATAATACCAGGTGAGACATTATTGAATGTTGGCTTGCTTTCATTATACAGGGAAGTTTTATTATCTGATTCAGTATCAAACTGTACAATTAGATTTGTGTGCTTTTCAAAATCATTACTATATATATCATATTCGCTAAGATAGTCTTCTGTAGGGTCTTCTTGTGAGATCTCTGACTTCAAACTGAAATCTCTTTCATCCATGTTCATCTTCCTTAAGGCATACACTGGCTGCCTCTCTAATTTGTCATCATAGTCATAGACTTCTTCCAATTTGACGGTCTGGGTTCCATCGTGTTTGAGTTTAGGAAGGTCCTTTAATGGGACATGTGCTTGAGCTTTTGTTTCCCATTCTGAAACTTAAAAAAAATATTAATTCTTACTCTTTTTAAAGGAAACAGAACAATATACATGAATAAAAATATGTTCATAGCAGCATTATTTGTAATAGCTTGAACCTGGAAGCAACCTAGATGCCTCTCAACTGAAGAGTGGATAGAGAAAATGTGGTACATCTACACACTCAGCAGAAAAAAATGGAATCTTGAAATTTGCAGGCAAATGGATGGCACTAGAAGAAACCATTCTGAGTGAGGTAACGCAGTCACAAAAAGAGAAACATGGTATGTACTCACTCATATATGGATTTTAGACATGGAGGAGGGGAGTGCCAGCCTACAATCCCACCACCAGAGAATCTGGGTGGGCCCTAAGAGAGATATGCATGGTAACCTGGAGATGGGGAATGAGACAAGATCTCCTAATTGGATTGGGAGCAGGGGGAAGGGGAGGGGAGAGGGAGATGGGCGAAAGAGAGGGGAAGAAGAGGACACGAGAGAGCAGGAAGGTTGAGTCAGGGTAAGAATAGAGGAGAGAACGATGAGAGATACCATAATAGAGGGAGCCATTATAGGTTGGAGGAGAGATCTGGCTCTAGTGAGATTTTCAGAGAGCTACAAGAATGGCACCAATGGGCACTAAGGCTACCTTAAATGCCCTCCCCTGATAATGAGATTGATGACTACCTTATATGCCATCCTAGAACCCTCATCCATTGGCTGACGGAAGCAGAGGCAGACACCCACAGCTAAAAACCGATCTGATCTCCTGGAACCCAGTTGCAAAGAGGAGGGATGAGCAAAGGAATCAAGACCCGGCTGGCAAAACCCACAGAGGCAGCTGACCTAAACAAGGGGGAACACATGGACCCCAGACTGATGACTGAGAGGCCAGCATGGGACTGAACCACATACCCCCCCTCCCAACCTGGGTGTCAGAGAGGAGGCCTTGGCAATTTATGGGACCTTGGAGAGTAGATCAGTATTTATTCCTGGCATACAAATGGACTCTGGGAGCCCATTCCACATGGAGGGATGCTCTCTCAGCCTGGACACATGGAGGAGGACCTAGGCCTTGCCTGGGATGATATGATAGACTCTGAAAAATCCCTCATGGAAACCCTTATCCTCCCCCTGGGGAGCAGAGGGGGGGATGGAGTGGGGTGCTGGGTTGGGGAGGATAGGGGGCTGGGGGAGGAGGGGAGAGAGAGGGAACTGAGAGAAACATGTATAAAAAGTTAAAAAAAATCCAAAAAAAATTCTGAAGATTACAGTTCTGATAACTTCATTTTATAATCCTTAAAGTTTGGGGAAGGAAAATGAATGCTTAGAAAAGGAGAAGATAAATCACTGAAAATGGAGAGGCTTCTTACTTGTTAGTATGGTATAAAGCACATTGAGGAGGCAGGTGCCAATGTTAGGAGAAACTTGGATACCTGGTGTAATTCATACATACAGTGATCTCATAAAGTAGGCATGCTGCCGGGCAGTGGTGGCACACGCCTTTAATCCCAGCACTCGGGAGGCAGAGGCAGGCGGATCTCTGTGAGTTCGAGGCCAGGCTGGACCGACAGCCTCCAAAACAATACAGAGAAACCCTGTCTCATAAAACCAAAAAAAAAAAAAAGTAGGCATGCTAATGCTGCTTTATTCTTTTCCTTTCCAATCTACAGATACAATCCCAAATAATAATAATAATAATGATAATAATAATAATAATAAAAATTTTGCTTTCTTTTTGAGACAGGGTCTATGTAGCTTTGGCTGTCTTGGAACTCACTCTGTAGACCAGGCTGGACTTGAGATCTACCTGCCTCTGCCTCCCAAGTACTGCCAGGCAATTCTTGGCATTTCTATTGGGAGACAGCCACTGTTGGGCTACTCAGACCAGTCTTTAATGACATTCTCATAAACACTCTCTCTCTCTCTCTCTCTCTCTCTCTCTCTCTCATACACACTCTCTCACATACACTCCCTCTCTATCACATACACACACACTCTCTCTCTCTCACACACACTTTCTCACACACATACTCACTCCCCCACAGATCTCCCATATAAATATATTTCAGCCAATCAGTTCTGTTCCTTTAGAGAGCCGTGACTATATATCTTGTACATCAAGGGTTGGAGAAGGGCACAGTGAAGCCCTAGAGATGGTCTAAGAGATGGGATCTAGGGATCTTTGAGGATAAAACATACAGATACTGGCAAAGGCATAAACATGACACTCAGAAACTTTTCCTGAAGACTTCCCATAAGGCAATGATGCCAACAGCTCTGAATTTTAGACCAGCTGGATGCCTCTACAGTCACTTTGCTATGTTTATAAATCAAATATCACAACACTGAGGACACAGATTCTTGAGTGTAAGGTCATGAGTTGGCTTTGCTTCTCACCTGGGCTAGGGCCTTCTACAATTTCTTTTATCACCATCCACGGCTCTTCTAAGATGGGAATCACAGATGGCCTGTAGATGGTCAGTCCTGGTTAGGAGGAAAAGAAAGAGTTTATCCTATGATAAGGAGCTATGTGCCTTTAGTACCTGATTTCTACTTGGGCTTCTGTGGGGAGACAATGGCTCATGGACATGACCTAGTAGGAGAACTAGGTGTGAGGCAGCATCCAGAGGCAGTGCTGTACAGCTGTGTGCTGTGATGCCTTTCTTTTGGGGAAGCGTAGAACATGCCTGAAGGAGACTTCTCATGTCCAGACTGTCTTCAGTCAGGTCCTTCAGGCACCTAACCTAATTTTTAGTAAGGAGGGCAGGAACATACTGTGGCTGTCCGGCCTTTTGGGAGAAGAAGTATGGACCTTACCTAGAGAAACCATGTTCCAATAGTTCTGCAAAGTCACAGTCTTATAGAGTTCCTTCTGAAAGGGGTGCATCAGTTCCCAGTCCTCTTGGGTGATATCCACGGCCACATCTGTGAATGTCATTGACTCCTAAAATGTCAAACATAACTGAGTTGAAGAACTAGTGAGGAGGGAGACAGTGGTGACACTGGGTGTGTGTCTGTGGTGGTGGAAGTCACAAAATCTTAAGTGTCATCCTGCTGAGTGTATTGACCTGCATTTGTAACACCACCAGCATTCAATAAGTTCCAGGCTAGCCTGAACTACATGGTGAGATCCAGTCTTCAACCAATCAACCAAACCAAAGCCCCCAAACCCTCATCCAATGTGTGGCTGACTCCACAGTAACCTTAAAAGGTCCTTAAAGGAACATTTAAAAATAAGGTAGATTATACTGACTCTAGACTCAGATTCCATCCCTAGCACTATAAAAAAAAGCAAAGAAAATGACTTTATTTATGTGTGCATGTGTGCATGGGTGAGGGTGAGTGAGTGTGTATGTGTGTGTGTGTGTGTGTGTGTGTGTGTGTGTGTGTGTGTGTGTGAGTGTGTGAGAATGTTGGGACGCATGCTGATTTCATGGAGTGTGTGGCAGACAGAAGACAACCTCAGTGTCAGTCATCACCTTTTACCTTGAGACAGGGCCTCTTGTTTGCTGGCTGGCCTGTGAACTCCTAGAATTCTCTTGTCTCTACTGCCTATCTTGCCACAAGAGCTCTGGGTTATTGATACATATTACCACTTCTAGCTTATATGGGTTCTGGGGATCCAAACTCAGATCCTCATGTTTGTGTGGCAAGCACTTTGCCTGTTAAGTCATCTCTCAAGCCCACAGAAAGGGCTGAAAAATAGACGACAGAGTTGTTTTTGCCTTAAGAATGTCAACAAGCTATAATTAAAAATCTACATGCTCCACAATGAAATGCAGAATTCATTCTTGTTATCCTTATCTTTTTTTATTCCTGTTGAACAGCTGCATTTGTAGACACATTTATTGGAAAGGTTACTGTCTCTTTTGGTTCTGGTTAAAAATTTTCTTTTGTTTGCTATTTTTGGACTGGAGAGACGGCTCAGCCTTTAAAGGCTAGGCTCAACAAAAAAATGCTTTTCTCTCTACCATGAAGCCCTGGCTAGCCTAGAACTCACTGAGTAGAACAGACTGGCTTCTTGGATTCACAGAGATCCACCTGCTTATGCTTCCCTAGGGCTGGAATTAAAGATTCATACCATCAGGCTCTTCGTTACTCTGGCATGCTCCCTCCTTTTTTTTTTTTAGTTGTAATTAAGCCAAGGTCTTAGTGTGTAGCCTATGCTGGTCTTGAATTCAGGACACTACTGCCTTAGCCTGCCTAACTGAAAATTTGAGAGGGTACAATCATATAAGTTTATAATTTAGGAAGATGACAGCTTTGCAATTATTCAAGTTTTTTTTAACATCCCATAAAATGACAAAGGACATGAAAATACTGTAAAATCCATACGATGTTTAGTTCTAGCTATCTTAAGGTTTTCTTTTGTGTTATGGTACAGACTAAATAATCTTATTTCATTTTCATCATATGATCTTTACATAATATGGGATACATTTTTGCATGTTATTTTCTATAGCAGTCTGTTTCTATTATTTCTAACACATTTCCCCTTGGTTTCCTGAATTTCCAAGTAAATATGTTTATATCAACTATTTTACATATTCTTCCTCCAATAAATCCTCCTCTTAATGTTGCTTGAGTTGTTATTCCTTAAGTAAGAGACTACCATTCAAACAGTTGATTACAGAATATATGGCCTTTACTTTTTGATGAAGAAAAATATTAGCAACCACTGCTATAATCGAAGATAATCAGGTATCTCATATTTAGTGTCTACAATCTATAAGGTAAAGTCTCCTTTTTGACACTGAATAACTTAGGCCAGGAGTGGTTAAGAATATTGTCTCAAATCACAGAGTGACTAGCAGAGCCACCCCCCAGATTCCATCTGGCTGTGGGGTCAGACTCTTAACCTTCACACAACACTGCTGACTGAAGTCAGAGTGATGAAGACAAGGGGGGGGGCACAGTGTTTACCAAGGGAAACTGAGGCCTAGGTTCTGAATGGGGCTTTTGAGGGCTTAGCAGTTACAGGCCCAGGACAGAAGAAAGTTATACTCACTTTGGTCACCAAGTCGTTGAACCACCCTGTCTGGAAAGTGTGTTCAGGTTCCTCCTCTGGGACTTCCTGGGGAAGGGTGGGATTCTGAGGAGCTTGGGAAGACAATGATGATTAGTTTGCTTGCATGGTCTAAGACACACTTCACCAGCTATGTCTACACTTTCTCAATGTGAGAAGGAAAAGGACAAGTGAAAACTTCGGTAATATGTCAGAGTTAGAAAAAGGCCAACGACCACCCTAACTCATCAGGGCAGATTTCAAAAACAAGCCTGCTTTGGCACTAAATACATGCAGAAAATTTAAATGTCTCTTTTTTTGGGGGTGGTGCTGGCACTGAACTCCACCACCAGGCTACACACATCCCCTGCTCTCTAAATGTCGAATACAAAGTTGTGAGTTGTCTCCACAGACGAATGTTCTTTGGATCCTTCCACTATTTTGGAAGTATATTTTTGTAAAACCCAATTCATAACACTAATGGCCTATTAGCATAATGGTACAAACTTCTGCGAGTCACAGGGGTCCCAAGTACTCTGGAAGGAGACACAATGAGCAAGGACCTCATGTTAAAGCTCATTATTCACTGACCTCATTCTCCCCAGTTTCACCTAAGGGAGGCTGTTCTCAGAGTCGCGAGGCGTCTTCTCTAACCACCCAGGGATGTTACCCATCTTTACTGTACAATTCTCACCTTCCTCTTCTAGAATCTGAGTCACATCCTCCACCAGAGTCACCACTTCCTCGCTGTTCTCTGGGTACTGAGACTTTACCCAAGCCCGAACCTCCCCAGGCAGGATGGTCAGGAATTGCTCCAGCACCAGCAACTCCAGGATTTGTTCCTTGGAGTGAACCTCAGGTCTCAGCCACTTCAGGCAGAGCTCTCGGAGCTGACTCAATGCTTTCCGGGGACCTGCCACATCTGGATATGAAAAATTCCTAAAATTCTGTCGACAGGTCTCAGTGTCACGCACAAGTCTTGACGTGAGTGTTTGCTTGTCGTCACTGTAGGGCCCGTTTTGGACCTTGTCTGGCTTCCACATTAGGAAGACCTGTGAGTGTGAAGAATTGGTCATCCTCTTTCTTGAGGCTAACATTGCTATAGACAGGGGAACCGATCTGGTAGGATCTTTTATTTTTCCAGTATTGAGCCAACTGCTTGAAGACTCATGCTACAGTCACACAATTAATATTATTTTTTTTCCTCAAGGGCTGGTGCAGCCAGGGCCAGAATGGAACCACAGTAAAACTAGCAGCTTGTAACAAGTTCTGAGTTCAGAGCTTGGAAGGATGAGCAAGGCCCTGCAACACAAGAATTGTCTTAGTTAGGGTCACTATTGCTGTGAGGAGACACCATAAGCAAGTCAGGACAGGAACTCAAACAGGGCAGGAACTGATGAAGAGGCCGTGGAGGGGTGCTGCTTACTGGCTTGCTCTCTACCACTTGCTTAGTCCGCTTTCTTATAGAACCCAGGACCACCATCCCAGGAATGGCACCGCCCACAATGGACTGGGCCCTCCCCATCAATCACTAAGAACATGCCCCACAGCTGTATCTTTTGGAGGCATTTCCTCAATTGAGGTTCCCTCCTCTCAGATGACTGCAGCTTGTATCAAGTTGACATAAAACTAGTCAACACAACTGACCTCTTGTTAGCTTGACACACAAACGTAACTGTTAAGCCACAACCTTTCTTTTCTGGTTCATCCCCAAGACCACACATTAATATTAATATCACAATATAAAACATTTTTAAGCTTAAAGAGTTCCACAAATATTACAAAATCAAACATTTAAAAATTTGGTTTCTTTTGAAATCCAAAGTCTCTCAACTGTGGCTCCTATGAAATAAAAAATGAGTTAAATACTTTATTTCAAGAGAACCAGAGAGCAGTCACAATCAAATCAAAGCAACACCAGCTGAGCAGTGGTGGCGCATGCGTTTCCCAGCAGTCGGGAGGCAGAGGCAGGCAGATTTACGAGTTTGAAGCCAGCCTGGTCTACAGAGTGAATGCCAGGACAAATAAACACAAAAAAGAAAAACCTCCAATTGTGCAAATGACTCAGTGTCCAATGTGTGGAATTCACTCACGATCTTCTGGGCTCTTTCGAGGGGCTTGGGTCATCTCTCCAGCCCTGTCCTCTGCAGCACACACAGCTTGTCTTCTAGGCTTGAGCTGGCTTCACTCCACTGCTGCTGCTGTGTCTTGGTGATCACCCTGTGGTATTAGCGTCTCCAAATTGTTGGGGTCTTTTACTGAAACTGGGCTGTACTTTCACCAACAGCCTCTGTGTTGGCTAGTCTTATATCAACTAGACAAACATACTAGAGTTATCTTACAGGAGGGAACCTCTACTGGGAGAATACCTTCATAAGATCCAGTTGTAAGCCATTTTCTTAATTAGTGATGGGGGGGGGTGGGTTGTTCCATTCTTGTGCTGGTTGTCCTGGGTTCTATTAGAAAGCAGGCTGATCAAGCCAAGGGAGCAAGCCAGTAAGCAGCACCCCTCCATGGCCTCTTCATCAGCTCCTGTCTCCAAGGTTCCTGCTGTGTTTGGGGTTCCTGTCCTGACCCTCCTTTGAAGATGTACAGCAATATGAAGTTCAAGCCAAATAAACCCTTTCCTCCCCAACTTGCTTTTTGGTCATGGTGTTTTATCACAACAACAGAAATCCTAACTAAGATAGCCTCTCCTGGGCTTTCTTCAGGGATGCCGGCCCTGCCACAGTGCCAAGTCTCAGCTACTCTCCATGACCCCTTCATGCCATCAAAACCAGTACCACCTGAGTGACTCTTACCCTGCCAAGTTTGGCTGTCAGGAGGTACAACCTTGGCTGTCTCTGGAGCACAGCTTCTGTGTGCTGATGCCAAGGACACACTTCCCATAAGACTTCACCTCCGTGATGCCAGTCACTTCTTAATCTCAGGTGACTATTCAGTTCCAGGTGACCAGACACCAAAGATTCCACACAGAAAAGGGCATGTTTGCTTCCCACTGAAACTTCACACACCAGGGCTCCACCATCTGCTCTGTTCCCAAAATTCTTATCTTCAGCTTCTATAGAACAATCCACTGAGCTCAACACTCATTGGCTTTTCTAGCCCAACATCCTTCCACAATCCTCCCCCAAACATGGTTGGGTCTGTGATACCCCACTTCTGGTTCCTGTTTCTGTCTTAGGGTTACTATTGCTATGACAAAAGACCACGAGCAAAAGCCCCTTGGGAGGAAAGGGTTTACTTGGCTTACATTTCCACAATCACATTGTTTATCATCAAAGTCAGTCAGGAGAGGAACTCACACAGGATAGGGACCTGGAGGCAGGTGCTGATGCCGATGCTATGGAGGGGCGCTGCTTACTGGCTTGTTCTCCACTGGCTTGCTCAGCCTGTTTTCTCAGAGAACCCGGGACCACATGCCCAGATATGGCTCCAACCACAATGGGCTGGGCCCTCGCACATCAATCACTAATTAATAAAGTGTTCCACAGTATTGCCTACAGCTTAGTCTTATAGAGGCGTTTCCTCAATTGAAGGTCCCTACTTTCAAATGACTATTGGTCATGTCAAGTTGGCATAAAACTATCCGGCATAAGAATGGACCATAAGCTCAAGAATTCCTGGTGTACTATGCTACTCATCATACAGAGGCAGACTCTGCAGAATGCTTGGACAGACACATAGGATTCACCCTGGCCTTCCTTCCCTCTATCCTTGGACTCAGAATATACTTATCCTAGAGGAAGTTAGTAAGTGTGTGTGTGTGTGTGTGTGTGTGTGTGTGTGTGTGTGTGTGTGTATGTATGTATGTATGGACGGAGGAGGTAGAAGTAATAATTCAAGGAATTATGACAATGGCCAATTTCTAACTTGCTAAAAACTAATCATCTTATAGAAAGAAACATTTCACTCACTATCTTAGTCACTGATGTTTCCGATGTTCTCAGCAACCACAATCGGCGATTACCAGGACAAACTGGAGGTTTCCAAACAACCTCGTGGGGGTGGGGCCAAGGCGATCTATTTATCTGCTTTGCAAGGTCTACTCTACTCTCAGAGCCGGGAAAACAAGCCCGTTGGACAGTGATTAGAGGTAGATCAGGAGCCTCTTCGAGTATAAATCGAAAGCACGATCCCCAACGCCAACCCCACAAGTATCCAGACGCAGAGAAGAACCCATACATACTTGTCTGGGGCTCCAACTCCCAGCTCATCCGCAGTCATGCCCCGAGGAGATGCGCCGTCCTCGCTTTCAGCCGCCTCCCCTTCCCGGCCTCGCCTGGGCCCGGCCTCCCCGTGGACACTCGCAGGGACATCAGTACATGTCGATCGGCCGGGTCCGCGCAGCACAGGCAACAATGGCGGCGGCGTAGCGGGCGCCTGCGTGGCAGGTTCGACCCCGAGCTGCACGGGGTGGGGGGAGGTGGGGGTTCAGCTTCACGGCTTTCCTCTCCGGGAAGAGCCGGGAGCCGCCAAGAAGCGCCAGTCCCAGCTCTGTCCCTAGAGGCCCGGGCTGGAACCCCCAGAGCCTGGGCTTTGCAGAGACCTCGCCTCAGCGCCACTGCGCATGTGTTACTGGAACGCTGCGTGTTCTCAGAGCCAATGGGAAGCTGAACCCGGGCTTCCCCATCCCGAGCCCCTGGCCCTGGCCCTGTCTCCATGGTAACCTCCTCCACCCATCACCATGACTTGCTTGTTAGCTGCAAGGTTTTGACACGAAACTTTAAAGTTTCCCTGGGCAGAGACAGGCCTGGCACATGACTTGGATGTCGGGGCTGTAACAGCAGCTGGGAAAGAGCTTGGAGAGTAAAGTCGGCGTCTTACTACCCAGAGATAGACAGGCGTTGAGAATACGGCTTGCAGAGAGGAAAATCCACACTCCTTTCAGGGTGTGCTGTATATAAATACTTAATCGCCTTGATTGTCTACTTAAGACTCTTTTGCTCTTTGAGCTCTTTTGGGGAGCCAGCCACCCAGCTCTCAAATTAACCACACAGAGGCTTATTATTCTTATAAATGTCTGGTCTCAGTTTGGCTTTTTTTTTTTTTTTGCCAGCTTTTCTTAACTTATCCCATCTACCTTTTGCCTCTGGGCTTTTACCGTTCTCTATTTTTGTATCTTTTCTTTCCTTCTTATTCCATGTTTGTCTGTGTAGCGGGGTGTGTGGCCCCTTCTTTACTGGCTACTTTTTCCTCTCTTGCTTCTCTACCTTTCTCTCAGGTTTTTCCTTCTGTTTATTCCCTCCCTAGCCCCGTCTATCCTTTCTCCTGCCCTGATATTGACTGTTCAGCTCTTTACCAGACCAGCCAGGTGTTTTAAGCAGGCAAAGTAACACAGCTTCACAGGATTAAACAAATGCAACATTAAAAGAATACAACACAGGGGCTTGGTCCTGCTCCAACTTAATGTGCCAAACTGTGTAACCTCCCCATGGCAGCCCTTACCTGTTGGGAGGAATGGATGGAGGATGGGCTGGAAGGGAAGTGATGGGGGTGCGGGAGAAGGGGTGGTAGGGAGAACTGTGATTGGAATGTAAAGTGAAATTTAAAAAATATTAAAAAAGAATGTAACACATCTTTTCATCATTAAGCAAATGTTCCACAGCAGAAACAAATGTAACACACCTTAACATAATATTCACAACAGGGACCCTCAGATCCAACTAATAGACAAATTATCTGTCTTTAGTGTTTCTCTCAGTTCCTTCTTATCTTCTGTGTATTCTTTGGTTTGGTCTTTTCATTGCACTCAGACATCTTGTCCTTCACCCTTGATATTCTTTATTCTGCTTGGCTGAGTCTATTGGTGGTGTTACTACTGTTTTTCTGTTCCGTCCACTGAGTTTTTAATTTCCAGCATTTCTGTGTGGGCCCCCCAGTGCCAAAATAGCAATTTATGTACCTACTCATGCTCACAGGAGCAAAACCAATTAAATGCACTGGGCCATCAAAACTAGGTGCAAAGTAGGAGAGAGGTGAATCTCTGTGAGTTTGAGGCCAGTCAAGTGTACGTAATCAGTTCAAGTCTAGCATGGGCTTCATGATGAGGAAAGAAAAGACTGGAGAGATGGCTTAGTGTTTAAGAGAGTTTTTCATTCTTACAGAAGACCTGGGTTCAGTAGCAAAATTACAGTTATTAAGTAGCAAGTAAAAAATTATGGTTGGGGGTCACCACAGCATGAGGAACTGTATTAAAGGGTCACACAGCATTAGCAAGGTTGAGAACCACTGGTGTGACTTGTCTAAAGTATAGCTGTCAGAGGTTACAACCCCTCTATGGAGAATGTGTACTCACTCTGTTGGTAGTTTCTTCTGCTGTGCAGGTACCTTTACCTTAAAGAAGCATGTCTCAACCTGTGCTTGGGCTCTCATCTCAGATATCCTACATACCATATATTTACATTACATTCATAGCAGCAACAAGGTTACAGTTATGAAACAGCAAGAAAAAGAATTTTGTAGCTGGGGTGGCCACCACAACATTAGGAACTGTATTAAAGGGTTGCAGCATTAGGAAGGTTGAGAACCGCTGCTTTGAAAAAATCCAGTTTGTCAATTACTGGGCCCAGTTTCTGTGCTAGTCAGAAATCTCTTGCATAAACCTATATTCCAAAGTGTTTCCCTTATATTTTCATCTAGCAGTTTCAACAGTTATGGTTTTAAGTTAGGGTCTTTGATCCAGCTTGGATTGGTGATTTGGCTCAGGATGAGAGATATTGATCTAATTTCATCCTTCTGAAGATGACTATCTAGTTTTCCCAGCATCATTTATTGAATAGGGTGTTCATGCCTGTGTCCTCTATTATGTTTCATTTACCTCCATGTCTGTTTTTGTCATTATGGCTCTGTAGTATAATTTGAAGCTAGGTCATGTAATAACTCTATGTCTTTCTGCCTAAAATTGATTTGGGTATCCATGGTATTTTCATTTCCATATGAATTTTTGATCCCCTCATTCCTGTGGAGAATGCCATTGGTATTTCAGTGAGGTCTGCATTTCACTTGTAGATTAGTTTTGGTAATATGGCCATTTCCACTCTATTAATTCTGCTGTTCTAAGAGGATAGGAGGTCTTTTTGAGGAAACTATGGTAGTTTTCATGCTGGTTGTGCTAGTTTATACTCCCACTGTCTTAGTTAGCATTACTATCGCTGTGATGAAACACCAGGATCAAAAAATCAAGTTAGGGAAGAAATCGTTTATTCAGTTTACACTTCCACACTGCTGTTCATTATTGAAGGAAGTCAGCATGAGAACTCAAGCAGGGCAGGAACTTGGAGGCAGGGCTGATGCAGAGGCCATGGAGGGTGCTGCTTACTGGCTTGCCTCCCATGGCTTACTCATCCTGCTTTATAATAGAATCCAGGACTATCATCCCAGGGATGGCATAACCCACAGTGGACTGGACTCTCCCCCATCAATCACTAATTAAAAAATCTTATAGCTGGATTTTCTGGTTTTTCAAGACAGGGTTTCTCCATGTAACAGCCCTGGCTGTCCTGGAACTCACTCTGTGGACCAGGCTGGCCTTGAACTCAGGAGATCTGCCTGTTTCTGCCTCCTGAGTGCTGGGATTAAAGGTGTGCACCTACCACCAGTCAGCTACGGCTGGATCTTAAGGAAGCTTTTCTCAATTAAGATCCCCTCCTTTCAGATGACTCTAGTTTGTATGTCAAGTTGACATAAGACCAGCCAGCACAAGTACATTGATGCTCCTCTTTTTTCTACAGCCTCACTAAAATTTTTTGTCTTTTGTTTTACCTTGATTATAGTCATTCTGATTGGCATAAGATAGAAGCTCAGAGTAGTTATAATTTGTATTTCCATAATTATTAAGGATCTGAACACTTTTCAAACTACTTGTTAGCAATTTGTATGTCTTCTTTTGGGAAATCTCTGTTTAGTTCTAAAATTAACTTCTGATCGGGTTGGTTGCTTTCTTGATGTTTAGTTTCTTGAGTTCTTTGTATGTTCTGCATACTAGTCCTCTTCTTTTCACTCAATTAACAGTTCCCTTTGTTGCATAGAAGTCTTTTAATTTCATAAGGTCCCATTTGTTGGTGGTTGGCTTTATTTTTTGTTTTTGTGCAACTGGCCTTATTTTTTTTACGAATGCATAATTCCTAACTGCGTAATAAATATTTACCCTTGTACTCACAGATAATCACAGCCCTCACCCCTCATCAAAGCAGCATCTTTTTTGGGAATAGACAGAGCACATTATAGAAAACCACAACTGTTCAAAACGCAGAGAACAACTGATTATGGGGTGTCCAGCCTCAACGGGTCCATCTGCAACACAACTCCTGACCCCAAGGCTCAGGGAACATTGCAGAAAGACTGCAAGAGCCAGAGACCAGGAAACCTGCTGTGAGAGTGTGCCCTTCTAAAAGGCAAGGAAGTTTCACACTTGATACCTCAACAACATGGCTGCCTAAGCAAGACACGAACAAGGACAACACCAATATACATGCTGACGTGGAAAGGGAGACTTCACAGATCCTCACCCTTAGACAAAGAACTACAGACATCCAGGGAATGCTGAGAGGGAGAATTCGTCTTACCCAGGGATTAGCACCTTTAATTGGTTATGAAATACCAAGTGGCTAGCCCTGGAACCATACAAATGCAAGCAACACTAAAAGAACTCAGCTATTGTGTAACAATAGCAATTAAAGAATGAGAGACCAAGTATTTGAAAGGGAGTGATGGGCATGAGAGGGGTTAGAGAGAGGAAAGGGAAGAGGGGACACTATTTAATTATATTTTAATTTAAAAATCAGGTGGTTGTAGATGTGAGGGCTCATAAATGGGTCCTCTATTCTAGTCCATGGACCTACCTTTCTGTTTCTGTGTCAATACTATGCTGTTTTGTTATGGCTGTGGTATAGCTTGAAATCAGATATTATGATAGTGCTAGCATTATTTTATTGCTTATGTGGTTTTGGCTGTCCAGATTCTTTTATGTTTCCATATGATGCTTTATTTTTGGAGACAGGGCCTCACCATGTAGCTCTGGATATCTAGCAACTTGCTATGTAGACCAGGCTGACCTTGGACTCACAGAGATCCCCTGCCTCTGACTCCTGAGTGCTGGGATTAAAGGTGTGCATCACCACATCTGATAACTCTGTATGAACTTTAAGATTGTTTTTCCTACTTCTGTGAAGAATGACCCTGCAATTTTGATGGGCGTTGCTTTAAATCTGTAGATTGATTTTGGTAGGATAGTCATTTCTAGAGTATTAATTCTTCCAATCCACGAATATGGGAGGTCTTTCCAGTGTTTTCCTTAATTACTTTCTTCATTGTTTTAAAGCTTGTGCTGTAGAAATCTTTCCCTTCCTTATTTAGGTTTATTCCAAGGTGTTTGATTGCTTTTGAGGCTATTGTGAATAGAAACATTTCTCTGATTTCTGTTTCTATATTTTTAGCATTCGTGCATATTAAGGCTTCTGATTTTTGTATGATAAATTTGTGTCCTGTCAGTTTATCGACTCTTGACAGTTTCCTGGTGGCGTCATTACTCTTTTACATATAGAATCATGTCATCTG